AGAGAGAGCACCTACTGAAACGAATGCCAGTGATGGCTGGGAAGCCCAGGGAGCCCCAAATGCAGTGGACTTAAGACTTATATCCCGCTTCACAGTGCTCCACAGCCCTTTCTAAGGCGGTTTACAGAGTCAGCCACTTGCCCCCAAACAACCTGGGTCCTTATTTAACCGACCCCAGAAGGAAGGAAGGAAGGCTGAGTCAACCGTGAGCTGGCCAGGATCGAACTCCTGGCAGTGGGCAGTGAGTTAGCCCCGCAATGCCGCATTCTAGCCACTGGGCCATCCTCACAGTTAATCAAGCCCAGCCTCCAGAACCTTCCCTGGAGCCTGGCTGAAACCCAGAGCTGCCCAGGAACGCCTACCTTTTGGACTTCATCTGCTCCCTTAACTTGCTCTCCATCTCCAGAACTAGCAGGAAGAAACGGAAAACAAACGAGAGAGGTCAGGAAGGGAAGGGCATCGCCAGGCGCCTCCTCCATCCTCCTCTGCAGGTCTCTCACCGGGAAGGCACTGGCTGAGTTTATCCACCGTGGCGGAGATGTTCCACTGCTGCAGCCGGCACTGCCTCAGCTCTTCCATGGCGCCCACCAGCTGCAAGAGAGACGAGAGGGGGCTTCATCATCGCGGGCAGCCTCGGCTCAGAGGTGCTGGTCAGAGATCCCAAGGTGAGCGCAGGGACCACCTGCGGGCACAGCCAACTCCGCCAGGTGCCCAGGCAGGCCAAAGGGGCAAGGAGCCAGATGGGCCAGGGCTCGGCTGCTTAGGGGTCATGTGGGCTGCTGGACAGAAAGCATTCAAGGGGGCAGGAGCGAGCTAAGGAGAGACTGGAAGGGCCTGATCGAGGCGCTCCCTCGAGCATTTCTGGGCCAGACAGGGGCGGGCTTCAAATTTTTTAGCAAAGGGCTCTCTGCCCTAATGACTGGCTGGGTAGGTGTGACTGGGTGGGCGTGGCTGGGTGGTCATGTCATCGGGTGGGTGTGGCTAGGTGGTCATGTGACTGGGTGGGGTGTGGCCAACTCGACGTCGCTTCTTTGCCCTAATTACCTAAAAAAAAAAAAAGATATATACCAAAAAGTTGTTTATTATTTCGCGCATTTAATACTTAAATAAAAGACTGGGTGAAACCAGGATTAATAGCAGTGACTGTGAGAGGGATCTTGGAATTTCTGGTACAGTTATGTGATTCTTGTTATTTGGGAATAAATCCCCTCGAAGGCGAGTGGCTATGTTATCTGATTTTTCTCCATGGCTCTCCCTCACAAGCGCTGAGTGGATTGTTTATCTAGCTTGCAACAATTTGACGAGGTGTGAAATGCTCTTGGCTGCATGCCCAGGAGTTCAATTGAGCCTATTAAGAGCTTTCCCTTGCTGCTTGTCTTTCTGGTGTTATTGGAGGCTCTCTGAGCCCCACAGAGTCTTAGCTAGGGCCTGCGAGCCCCCGGCAGCGCACCCCTGCTTCCAGCCCTCTGATTCTAGGCTCCACGTTCACCCTTTTCCTCTGTATACCCAGCTGTGCCAACACGGGTGCGCAGCTTTGCGAAGGACAAAAGGCTAAAACGCTGCCGAGAACATTGCAAACCTTCCTCCAAGGCAGCTCCATTTCAGGACTGAGGGAAGGAGGACCTGAGGGCCGAGCTGAGGCTGAGGGAATGTTTGGATTTTGAGGCCAAAGAGAGGCACCCCAAGAGCCCTTTGAAGGAGGAGCAGAAAAGCCTCTGAGGAGGTTAGAAACGGAGGGATGGGGACTGAGGTAAGAGCAGGAGTTTGCAACACCTTTCAGGGGCGGAAGCAGATCCCAGCAAGGACACACATCCATGCCCAAGCCAGAAAAATAGATTTGATCTGTCAGCTGTTCAAGTCATGGAATAAAACACAGACGGTCCTTCGCTTCTGGCCACTCACTCAGCCACGGCTTGAAATTACGTTGAACTAAGAGGCTCAATGGCCCAAAACTGCTGTCATTTTGCAGTGGCCCCTACAGTCACATGGTTCAAAATTCGGTGGATGGCAGGGGCCCTTCAACTCTCCTCTCCCCGTCTCCCTCCACCCCCCGCCAGCCTGTCCTTTTGGGAGCTCCACCCCGTGGCACTCAG